TAATTGTGTAATTATGTAAGTGCGGCCATTTAATTAACATATTTAGCACGTAATTTATCATTGCGCACAATTAAGCTTCAAGTGTGGATTATTTCTAAAGCCATGCAATTGTCATACAATTTCCTTTGTTTACTTTCGCTGTGATAAGCCATTTTTTATGGCCACTGTGAATTTCAGGAATTAACATTAATCAACGACAGAGACAACAAAATGACATTTCAATTTCCACGTAAAATTAACACAATGGAAATTTATGCGAAAGTGCAACGGCAACGAAAATGCAACCTTCAATTACACTTGCATGCATATTTATGTGCTCTGTGGCAGTTAGGCGGCGGTATGTGTGGCGTCCACTTGGCAAACACACACACACACACACATACAGTGCACAGCCACAAGCATACAAGTATGTACTCAGCCCGGAAATGAGTAGGCGTTCGACGCGTCAGCAAAGCGCAACAACAACAGCAGCGGACAATTGGCTGCCAGTGTCCTTTAGCATTATTTTGTGACTTTCGCCTTGTCATTGCTGGTCTGTAGTCAGTGACCTTTTGTGCGATAATGCGGACTGGACACACCGCCCGTCATCGCTAGTTAGTCATTGGAAATTTTCATTTGAATTGTCAAATTTTATGTGCGCGCACACCTCTCGCCCTTATCAGCCGCGACATACCGAAATACCGAGAAAATGCACAAACACTGGTAGTTAACTGGTCTTTTATGTTGTTCATGTGCAGTGGCATGCGATTTTTATGGTGTTTCTCATTATGTGAGTTATGACTGTTGCACATAAATATGCTGTTTTCGGTGGGTATTCCGATAAAGTGTTTGCGCAGGCGCAGGCGCATGTGTTTTTAGTGGCGGGAAAATTTATGTTGTTAACGACAATGAAGAAAATTATAGTTAAATTTTGAATGAACGATGTTTGCCAATTATAATGCACTGAGATGTTGATGGAAATTTCTTCATGGTTGTAAAATTGATGAAATTTTGGAAAAGAAGTTTTACATTTAACCCTTCGCAAATTTAAAAAAATTAAAAATTTTATTTAGACTAATTTTAATTAAAATTTATTTAATTTAGCCTTATATAGACTTTTGATTGGAGATATGGCCGACCTAAAGCTTTCGGCTGGTTTAAATACGGATTAGAGAAGGTTATACCAACAACAAGACCTAAAAGCCAGTTTTTCTTGCTATAATAGGATTTTAATTGCTGACTATATCCGGTATGCCCAAAAACGCGCTTAAATGCCTTTGATATATCCAAGTACTTGCTAAAAATGCTAATGCTTTTAAGAAAATATATTATTAAAAATATACAAAAAAATTAGAAAAATTTTAAGAAATAAATATATTATTAAAAATATACAAATAAATTAGAAAAATTTTAAGAAAATATATTATTAAAGATATACAAATAAATTTTTAAGTATTCATACTACAAATGAAATAAATTCCATTTAAGACAAATAAATGCCTGCAATCGCCATAAAAAGCATTAGCATTTCATTTGCCACAGTTAAATTAAGTACTAAAAGGTCGAGTGGCTTTGAGTTGTCGTTGGCGAGCGAATGGCCCGCGGTAAATTGATATCTTGTTTTCAAACGACATCAACAAAGCCGCACATTAAACGTGACGGTAAATTTTAATTTGCAAAATGTGCATTTATATATATTATAGTTAAAGGCAATATATTTTTTGCAACAAAAGACTAAAAAAATAAAAATAAAGAAATATGAACTGAAGAAGCGCCGCCAGTTCAACTAACGAAGCTAAGACGGCGGCAAAACAAGTTTCGAAACGGAACTCAACGCTGCAAAAGTCAAAGTTCATGAAAAGCCGCTTTGCTGAACGCACATACAAGCGCCATTTGGGGTTTCTGCAAAAACAATTTTGCAAAGTGACGACAACAAAAACGCAAACGGCAACGAGCAAACTGATTCTCACAGCAGCTAATCGCGTGCGCAACAAAAGACTTAAGCGGCGAACTCGGCGGCCAAAAGAGTTGAGGAACTTGTAGGAAAATATACATATATTTGAGGATATACATATCGTAAATATATATAAATATGTATTTGTCGCACATGCTCATCGCCAGCTTCGAGTTGTTCGGGTGCCTGTTGTGAAATCCCTCGGCCACATAGCTGAAAACAAAAAGAAAATGTGTGGGAATTTTCCCTTAATACTACGCCTGTGCATTTTCCATCCCTCCACGAATCGGCAAGCAATAGCGCCGTTAAAATGTCATAAATAGACGCAGCCAACACGCACTTTGTCACACACATAAACAAACGTCCACTTGCAAACGGCCGCACTGAGCGGTGGCACACCTGAGGGAAAATCGCTGCTGTTGGTTTATCGCTGGGAGCAACAACAATCACGCACTTGAAATGGGTTCCGCATGTGCTGTGAAGGCCCTCCGATTTTAACGACTAATTACAATTGTGCACATCTTGCGAAGAACGCGCATACACATTTATCTATGAGGGCATACGTATGGATGTGTGTGGGGACATGTGTTTGTGCGTTTTGGTTTGCGCACGCAATATGATTGTTTTACTTTTCTGCAATAACAACAAAGTCTTGTAGTGAACTCGTGCAGTTTTCCGCAATAACCACGCACTCACACACTCACGTAATCTATGACAGGCATATGCGAGTATATTGACAGCTCACACCAATGCCTGCAGTTTGTTGATATTTTATCTTTGTATTTTCTTACATTTATTTATTTTATAAGTAATTCAAAATTATCACATGTAAACTGTTGTTATTATTGGCGGTAAAACTGGCAAATGCATTGAATTTCTGACATAAGACGTGAGTAAATTATTTCTACAAATTTTGTGTGTATCTTAAATAAGATTTTGCCACTGGAAATTGAAAAAAAATCGTTTTAAATGAGGATGTCCGAAAATCTCGTTGGCAAAAATATAAAACAAAGTTAATTTTCAAAAATATTTATAATAGATTTTCTGCTTGGAAAGACCAAAAATTTATTTAGAGATTAAATTGTGATTATATTAAGGAACATAACTCAAGTTTAACAACTATAAGTGAGGTAAGCAAAAGTTTGAGTGTGTAAGGTATCTGAATCGGCAAATGAAAGCAAGTACTCTATGTTTGCCTTTGAAATAGCGCGGTGGTAGACTTTTAAACATAAATTTAGAGCCAAAAATCACACTACGATCAGAAATTTTTCTCATTTAAGATGACCTGTGAACCCAAAATGTAGTGTAATAGGACAATGGTAAAGGTACGGGTTATATGTGCGTACGATAGGCAGGGAAAGAATCACACAAGCATATTTGTGAACATTTTTTAACATAATGTATCGCTTTTTTCAGAGTCGGTGCGGAAAACTTCTTCGAAACGGTTGGATCGATCGTTTTAAAATATCCATGACATCGTCTTGAACAAATTTGTCAGTTAAAGAACGAGAAACAAATTTTTGATGACAATTTTGATTTTTCAAGCCAAAGGGAAACTTTTAATTTTCACGAAAATGGACTTTTTATTGGAAAATATAAGTCAAAAATCAAATCAAAATAGTCCTTCGATTATTACCTGTATTTATCTATAGTAATAATACATTTTTTTAATATTTGAAGAAAAATCTACCCTCAGACAACATTTTTTGTGCCATTTGGAGATAAGCAACGTTGTTCAAGAAATCCAAAATTTTTCAAAATCAATGACTGATTATTAATGTACATGAAATTCTGTAAATGTGCATAATTTTTATTTATTTAATATATAAAATGTCTAAAATTTTTATATATTTTTAAACTTAAAAGTGTTTTTAACACGATAAAATATATTAGAAAATATATTTTAGAAGGGAAGTATACTATTAGGCGGATGCAGTGTTGAAAATGTGAAACCTTCTTTTAGAAAAAACACCAACAAAAACAAAGCAGCGAGCAAAATGATTCTTACAGCAGCTAATCGCGTGCGCAACAAAAGACATAAGTGACAAACTCGGCAGCCAAAAGAGTTGAGAAGCTTGCTTAAAAATATACATTTGAAGTAATATATAGTAAATAACTAAAGCACTGGGATATGTGCGAGTAATTGAAATTAGAGGTTCCAGAAAATACAATTACAACAAAAACATAAGCCAGAATGACATTTATCTTCAAGTTTATTGCTACATAAGTAAAAAACAAATCGAATAAAATGTAAATAATATATTCTGAATACTTGTACATTGTAAACCTTAGCTGATTTTTTACTTTAGCTTGATTAGAAGTTTTTGAAATTGAGAGTCTTAAAATCCATAAAATATTGTTTATAATAATTTATTTAGATTTTGTCGAATTTTAGCTTATATAGCACAGAGAAGACCGATAAATGTGGTAGCACAGAAAAAAAAATTATTTAACAATAAGAAATATAAAAAACAGAAATATTTTTGAACGGAAATTTTTGGAATAATGTCGAATTTTGGCTTTAACGACCCAGATAGGACCAAAAACACAAATGATAAAATAAGAATAAAAATTTAAGAAAAAAATTATATTATTCAACGATTTTAATAACAACTTTTAAAAAATACATGTATTTTAAAACACATACACACTTTCCATTAAGAAAAGTGTAACAGTTTGCCTATAACTATGCCACAAATCAGTTTACATTCCACAAATCGTCAACTGGTGGATTCAAAATCATCTTTAATTTAACACTTTCTTGATGTCATTTTTAAGCAGCTTATTCCTAATCTACTTTACAACGAAGCAGTAAATTTGTATATCTCGCCCAACGAATATCCGTAAATGAAGTCTAAAATCCACAACGATCTCATAATGCATGCCACACAATACATTAAAACACAGCTGAAGATCAGAAAACTTTGCATACTTTTAGACGCAAGCGATCGAAATATGGATATCCACAACTCATGTATACCCCAACTCATACACACACTTATACAGCTTAAAACTAAAATAACAACAAAAATGTCTGTATGATGGAACATAAATTGTCTTCACTTACCTTCAGTGCACAGAATATACAATCTTGACCGCAACAAATGTGATGATTGAGGGTGCGAAAGGAACGACGAAAGGCGTCCAAGTGCCATAAGACCTGCAAGCAAAGAAGAGTAAAGGAAATATGAAATAAAATTTTACAACTTGTAGGGCAACAAGAAAACATATTAATATTTATACAAACATATACATATGTATGTAATAAGTAAAACACAAAGCAAAGTAAAAAAGTAAAGAAATCATAAAAAGGTTTGGCTGCCAAGCAAAGCATTAGGTCTGCGTATTTTGTGCTTTGTCTCGAGTATTTTCTCAAGTCAGTCACTTTAGATTACGCTCTACCGTATCGAGTGAGTCAAACGAGTTTTTATGGCGGCCATGTTTTTTGTTTTCATAGTTTTCATACAATGCCTCGGCGCACAGCAGAACTCAACGGAGCAACGCTGTGTAGACGATTTTCGCAGCCAAAGCGTACAGCAAAAGAGTTAAGCGAAGAGTTCGAGATTGGCTGCTACACATGCACAGCTACATATGTGTGTTTGTATGTGTGTTTATCCCATTCGCCACAGTCGTAGCCACCACAGCGGGGAACGACACGTCAAGAAAACTGGTTTTGTGCTGCCCGCAGTGGCTAAACGCTTTACCCCAACACCACAAGCTGAAGTAGCTTATGGCTGGGGCAGAACATGTACTTAACAGCCGCAACATTTGTTGCTCAGCAACTTTGGAGCTGCCAGCGTCAACATCGCTGCCACTGCGGCTGGGGTCTTTGGAAAGTAGGTACAGTTTTAGCAGTTGCTTTGGTGTCGTGCAGCTGAATTGGTTGCGCCAAAAAAGCTTTTCCAGCATAGAGTCGCATACAGCAACAACGCAAGAACAACAGCACAAGCTGGCCAAGCAAGCAAACAACAGTCAGCTCAAGCTGAAAGCAAACAGCAAACCGCCAGCAGACAGGCAGTCGAGTTGGGTAGCTTGGCAGTAAGGCGGTCGAACAATGGAGTGCACGTTGGCTTAAAGGCACATATGTATATATATAAATATGTATTTGTGTGGATGTGCGCTTTGCTGCCAGAAAGGTTCATTCGGTGTACACTGGAGTTGGTGCTGGTTGTTGTTGTTGCTTGTTTTTTGTCATTTGCTTATATACCTTCGAATTTGCGGGCAAAAGCGCTTGGCCAATGCTGAAGTTGCAGACTTTTGATTTCCTTCTTTCTGCACACAGTCATATAGAGTCATATACACACACATGCATGCATGATACAGCACACAATGGAGATACTTAAACGTTGCTTGTTGTTGTTTCTATGGTTTTATGGCTTAACTTAACGCTTTTTGACTTGTCGAATTTTCTGATATTTTACTGCTGCTGTTTTTGCTTTTGCTTTTGTTTTTGTCAAACCAAGCCACTCAGGCAGGCAAGCAGCTAGCTATTGAAAGGTTTCGGGCCAATTCTTTCAAATGCTTTTTGATTGCTTTGGCACTTCGCTTAGGTTTGGCGCGTTTCAATCGGCAATAATAATGTATGTATGTATATGTGTTGCTATTGCTTTGTGTTGTTGGCGTTTTGCTGTCAGCTTCTTTGCCAATGTGTTGCTGATCGTTTCATATATACACATTTCGTGCTGCTGCAGCTGCTGTCAGGTCAGCAACATTATTTTTTGCATCTTAGCGTGCGCTTAGCTATCTTATTAGATGTAGACTATTAGCTAGTATACACATGCGTGTGTGTGTGGCTTCTAATGCATAAATGTTCTTGCTTTTTGTTTGCTTCTAACTCCACATTCGCGTTCGTTTTTTCTATCGTCTGCTGTTTTTCGCTTCTCTTTGTTTCTTTTTTCGCTTCTCTTTGCTTGTTTTTTCTTTTGTTGTTGTTGTATTTTGATTTTTTCTACTTCGTTTTTTCTAAACACTTAGCCCTCGCGTCTTTTCGCCGCCATTTTGTTACTGAGTCCCGAAAAAAATTTTATTGTTTCTATTCACTTTACTCTTGACTGAACTGTGTGCCGTTGATTAACCTCAAATCTTTTCAGATTCGAGATTTTTATATGTGTTCATAAATTTTTTCTAACTTTCAGCGCACAGCTGCGCCTTTGCTTCATGGACACGCCAGTTATTGAATACTTCTCAAAGTATCTGTTGCATTGTTTATGCTGTTATATGATGCTGGCACGCACCACTTACTAATGAAGGGAAAATCAACCGAAAATGAAAAAAGTCAACCGAAACCTCAACAAAAAATCGTATAATAAATTTTTTTGAAAAACGGCTAAAAGCAAAAAGTTGTAACAAAAAGTCGGTTTCAAGTGTTGAATTTGACTGCTTGTATATCATTTTCGGTGTTAGTTCATTATGTTTTTGTTGTATAGATTTTTTTTGGCGTCTGTAGGCATTTTGATAGGCAAATTTGGTTTTTTCATCAAATTCTTCGGCAGATAATTCTTTGATAGAGATTTTTGTTGTTGCGTTTTTTTATGTATTGTAGGCATTTTGAGGGCTTTGTTCGAGTTGATTGAATTTTTAGGTAGAAGTCAGTGTAATAAATCGTGTTTGGCAATTTACATGAAAACGAGTTGGACACTCTTTTGCATGTATGTATGGTAAAAGTGTTGAAAAATGTTATTCATATGGCTTGGATTAAATTAAAAATATATTAAAACTATACATATATTTCTTTATTTATTTATTATTGCAAATATAACAAAAACAATTGGAATCGATTGGAAATACAAAAAGACTTTTTCGGTTACTGAATATACCACAAGTACCTTAGTTTTTTTATTTTATAAATTTCCAATTTTTGTTTTTTTTATATAAAAAAATAAATAAGGAAACCCTGAAAATAGTACATTAAATTATTCACGTTCAAAATGAAATTTTTCAGTTTCTTATTGGACCAATAATCTTCACAAAATTCGGTATAGATTATTCTCAAAGGTCCACCGCATAACTTATTCAAATCGGACCACTACAGAGTATAGTTGTCATATAAGCTGATCGCTTAAAATCAATTTCTTTTATGGACTATATTCTATATATTCCTTATTTCACAAAATATCTTCTCGAAATTTGGCATGGCATTATTGTTCAATACAATGCAGTTATCTCCGAATATATTGCTCAAATCAGATCACTATGGCATATAGCTGTTATATAAGTTGATCGCTCAAAATTTAATACTTGTACTGAAAACTGTTTTATTTGAAATACCTTTACGAAATTTGACTTAAATACTTTTCCAGAATAATGCTATAATCTGCAAAGAAATAATTCAGATCAGATGACTATAGCATATAGCTGCCATATGAACTAGCCGAGCAATATAAAGTTTAACTCTCTTCATATTATAATAATTTATAATTTAACAGTATATAGAAACTTGGGATTTCCAATTTTTATGACTTTTTATTTAAATTTTATTTAAGACCTAATAAAACAAAAAAATAATTCAAAAAAAAAAATTAATAAAAATTTGCCTTATTTTAACATTTTTCAAAACAAATAAATAATATTCCTTCAAATATACCGAACAATGAGGCTAAATAAGTAAATACATTGACTCAAGAAAAGACTTAGGCAACGAACTCGTTAGTTAACTATTCATACACCAGTGTATTGTGAACCCACATGAATTATATTAACAATTTATTTTTGCAAATGTATGCAAATTGGCCAATTTTATGCTGCAAACTGGTAAAAAGTGATTGAAATGATAAGAGAGTTTATGCAAAATAATTGAAAAATCAAAACAAAAAAATAGAAAATTAAATAACATCAGTATACTTGTATACATATTTGTATGCTTATTAAAAACCGAAGGCAAACATATCACGCTAACGCTTTGATAGGCACTTAAATAATAATATAAATTATTGTGACAAGCAGCAAGCTGACTAGAGTTTGAGATTGAATCAAGCTTATCTTATATTGAGAAAGATTTAAGCAACTCAGTTTGGAGCTAAGTAAGTAGATAATAAATAATATTAAGGCTGAAAAGAAAAATAAATTACTGATACTAATATATATATAGACGTTTGAAAACCAAAATCTAAACTAACAAAAAATAATTTTAAAACTCATAAAATATATAAAAAAAAAACTATAACTTTTTATACTAGCTTGAAACGCTAGTTGTTGCTTTTTTTGCTGTAGTAGGAAATCCAAGTCAAAACTTAATCTGTATTAAATCTGTAACTGTCACTTTGAACACACAAAGTTGACCAAAGCCGAGCGACTTAACAAAATATCAAAACTCGTTTCTTTCGACAACGAATATTTTATGGCAGCAGTTGGCTGTTGCACCAAACTGTAACGGCAGCAAGAGGTATAAAAAAAAAGAAATAGTAAAATAATTACATTGAAAGCAGCAACAAATTCAAGTGACTGACAGCTATTGCAAAATCACATACGAAAATTGTGGTGTCCGCACTAAAAGTCGAGCAAAAGGCTCGCACATAGATAAGGCAAGCATGAGCGGGCGCAAGCTGGATGGACGGGCGACAGTTAACAAAACGGCAGTGGGCAACTGGTCGCACAAATGGCCGAATGTCCAGCTGCACTCCAAGCATTAAAATACATACATACATATATGTACGAAGAGGTGCCAGCAACAAAAAAATTAATAAAAAAAAATCAGACAAACAGCAAGCCGCTTGCTAGAGAACTGGTCAAGTAGCCGACTAGCGTTTGAGTTGCCTTACGTGCGGTGCGCTCTACGCTATAATTTAAAAGTGCACAGCCAAATTGGAAATGTGCTGAAATTAGAGCAATGAACACGCGTCGCCTCGGTGAATGGGAGTGGCGAGCATATAAGAAAGAGTACTTATTTCATGCGCATATTATTAGGTATATACTAGTATATACATATACACTTGTATACATACGTATACATATACAGGAACATGTAGAAAGTTCGCATTAGATTTAAGTAAAATACTTAACGTTAATCTCAATAAAATTAGAAAGTAACTCATGGAATTTATTTAAAGAAAAAAAGTTTCGAAAATTTAAATTTTTATTTTTTTTATTTAGATAATTATCAATTTTTTTAATTGCGAAAATTTTTGACTTAGCGAAATTATTAATTAAAAGCATTAATATATT